TTTCTTGATTTTTCCGGACCAATAAGACTTAGAGACATCAAAGAAACGAGCTTACTCCTTTCTGGTGTTGCAGTTTTTCATAGGCGATGGTCGACACTTAAAATCAGGAAAATTTGATTTAATGTGGAGAAACCTCGGGGTGGAAAGCTAGTAAAATATATTCGTGGTCTGGGCAGGCACAGACAGAACAGCACTTATTCATAGTTGGCCTAGGGCCCTTGGAACTCTAAATCAGGCACTGGTCAAGCTCCATATAAGTTGCCTAAAACATAGGATGTTTATGTATAACGTTCTTGGAACTGCTATAAAACTTACCATCTGTTTAGATATCAACTCCTTATTACCTTCCCCCCCACACGTCCCCCCTTATGTTTTTTAGTGGAATACAATTAATTTTAATGAAGCTTTTACGTGGTAGACGCATGTTGCAGTTTTTAGTTGTAACACTAATTGGTGTAGGACCACGCTCACAGACTACCAGCGTAAAATACACCCTATGACCTTGTGTGCTGATGACAGCACAGCCTTAATCACCGGACAAGACAGTCTCATTTGTAACGGATATAAATCAAAATTTATCAAGGATAATAAGCTGATTAAATGACTAAATAATCTTAAAATTTATTTAGATAAAACTCATATTACGTCCTTAAACAAAGGTCAAAACAACAAAAACTTAATATTCACTATAAAACCAAAATTATAAACGAAAAAGAAAATTTCTGAGACTTTTGCTGGACGAAAAAATGACATGAAGTAAATATATTGAACACATGATAAAAAGATAAATCCATACCACTGAATCCCGTGAATGCCACTATGCACTACATATTACAAAAATTACAAATCGTGAAACAGTCATAACCGCCTACTTTGCATACGTCTCTTCAACATTGAGATATGGTATAATATTTTGGGGAAACTCTCCATAACGCGAATTAGTCTCTAAAGCCCTAAAGAAATGTTTACGAGCAGTATGCCAGTTGCAGGTTACCGACAGTTGTAAACCGCAATTCATTGATCTTAACTTAAAATGTTATAAATGCAAATAAATCGTACTTTTTATTAAACGTAAAGTAAAAAAAGTAAAATTGCAGCCTACTTACGTCCCACTGCTGGGCACAGGCCTCCTCTCATTTCTGAGAGGGTTTTATTAAACTAATGTCGTAGTCAGATAATAAAGGCCTGGTTACAGCTGTCCAAACAGTGCAAAGACAAAGTGTGTCGAAGAATTAAGGCATTTTGACATTAGAAGATATTAAATTATGTGTAAATTATTGGTCCTGCACTTAAGGTCTCTCGGACCGTGTCGGATTACGATTTGATGCTTGTGTGGGAATAGAGAGTGCACCTGTGCTTGCGCATACATTCGGATACTATAATTCTGTACTGTGCTGATGGGTTAGTCTCCGCTGAGACTGGCCGCTATGACAGATATTTGGTTGGGAGGACACCCAACCCAAAAATAACCCCAATTTTCAAATCAACCTAACACTCAACTCAACTCGAGACTCAACCGCCGCACTGATGATAATCACGAGGAGTGAGTTTGTTTATCAGTTTGTTCATAATTATAGTAATGACTTTAAGTACTGTTAGATGAGGTAATTTATATATTTTTTTAGAATTTTATGTCTTAATTGCTGCATTCAAGTGATTATTGATCACAAATATTAAATATATATATATATATATATATATATATTATAAAGAGGAAAGATTTGCTTGTTTGTTTGAAATGAATAGGCTCCGAAACTACTGGACCGATTTGAAAAATTTTTTTACCATTAGGATCCTACATTATCCCTGATGAACATAGGCTGTATAATATTGTCAAATAAGTTAGGGATCCGTATGAAAACTTCGTTAATGTAACCCAAGGTGTGAAAAAAATACCAAAAAAGAATCCTTATATCGCGTACGCTGCGGAAACTATTGATAATAGAGCAAAGTAATGTACTTCAGTTTTATAGAGGATATCAATATCTACAAAAAAGTCTGCGATGCCATATGTTTAACTATTATAGTTATGTCACAATAACTACTTTTTCATGTTAAAATATGAAATATTAACGCCGGTACAAACTAGGCCACAATTATAAAGAGGAAAGATTTGTTTGTTTGTTTGTTTGAATTGAATAGGCTCCGAAACTACTAGACCAATTTGAAAAATTCTTTCACTATTAGAAAATTACATTATCCCTGATGAACATAGGCTATATAATATTGTCAAAAAAGTTAGGGATCCGTATGAAAACTTTGTTAATGTAACCCAAGGTGTGAAAAAAATACCAAAAAGAATCCTTATTCTATCGCGTACGCTGCGGAAACTATTGATAATAGAGCAAAGTAATATTTTTTTTATAGGATCGGGTGACAAACGAGCACACAGTCCACCTGATGGTAAGTGGTTACTGTGACCCATAGACATCTACATCTATCCTCAATAAAGACTCAAGATGCAGATGCGTTGTCACCCGTGAGGACTGAGATGGAATGCCTCTTTGCCAGTAAAAAGGGTTTCCGGTTCTCTACACTCACCATACGAAACACAGCAGCGTTAAGCTGCTATTTTTTTATTTTTTAGTTTGAAACCGTTCATGCATAAAAAAAGTTCGCTAATAAATAGTCTTTTGTAAATCCGCCGCCGTATAGCGCCGGCGCTTGTTTCCTTTTGAAAACACTTGTTTTGCTATTCTTACTAATTAGACGTTTTCAAATCGACTTTACTTTTACATTTGTATAACATTAAATAATATTTAACATTTTGTAAATATTAATGAATCATAAACCTTATTTTTTTCCATATTAAAGTTCTTGATTTTTTTTCTTCATCTTTTAAAAAAAACGTAATCCCACACCAGGATTTTCTCCTGTATCGTGGAGGCAATTTACAAACACAAATTGCACAAGGACAAACTAACACTCAACTCAACTCGAGATTTTTTGTAGGCCATACAAATACTTTTCCGTGCGGGATTCGAACCCGCAGCCCCCAGCGCAGCAACTCATTGCTAAGCCACTGCGCCACGGAGCCGTCAATTTTTGATATTTACAAATATTATTATTGGGTGAAAATTTAATTTAATAAAACCAAGGTTTTCCTGGGTGATTTAGTTGTACCTACTTATATAAATGATTTTTTTATAAAACAAAAAATAGTACAAAATGTTTGTAATAAGTGGTATGGAGTGGTAATGAGTGGTAGAGCCACGTGGCAGCTTTTGCTGTCACACGGATGTGCCGGCTCGAACCGGGGTGGTACCACGACCTCACAGAAAACCAGCGTGAAATAGAGGTTTACCTCTGCGTTTCGCTTGGTGAGTGCAGTTGGCCGGAGGCCCTTTTTACTGGAAATGAGGCATTCAAACTTAGTCCTCACGGGTGATAACGCATCTACATTTTGATTTGTAATAGAAGATAGATGTAGATGTCTATGGGCCGCAGCAACCACTTACCATCAGGTGGACTGTGTGCTCGTTTGTCACCCTTATCCTATAAAAAAAATCTCTGCATTAAAAAAGTCACTTACTCTCAATTTCAAAGAAAACACGTAGAAAAACACGTAGTTACCCACTAAAAACAAGTATCCTTCCGTTTGTAACTGATGTTTGATGTCAACTAAACTTAATTAGGTCTAAACTAGTGAAAAAAAGCATAAAAAAGATAATTATTTTTACACATGGCTGGTGCTTGACACGTCAGGCGTGTCATGAAATATTTGTTCGCCGCCACAGCTAAAAGTTGTCGAAAATTGGTGCCGCAACGAATCGTTTAAGCTGCTATTTTACGCTGGTATTCTGTAAGAGCGTGGTCCTTCCCCGGTCGAAATATAGCAAAAAAAAAATGTTACAATTATTTGAAACCGTACTAAACTAATGATTTATTATTAAAATCTGTAGATCAAATTGGATATTTGTAATTTTATTTTCGATTTTCCCTTAGCTAGGCCTTACTACCCGCAGGTACTTATTTTGATGATATAATGAATGGTTTTTAGGAGGCTATAATTAATGTCCGATTTATTTATTATATTCTTAACTTCATGCTATTAACAATGATGTAATGGATAATAAAAACAATAATTTATGCAATTTTTCGTAAACATACGGATATAGTTCCGTTCTAGGGACACCTCCGATTTGGACCAATTTTATTTTTACATGGAGCAAAATTTTATTTTTACATTTTTACAAATGATGAAAATCCTCAAAGGAATTTTTAACGCAAATGCCCCTGAAATTTTTTGCGAGGGTTTTGAAGTTTTAGATTTTTAAGGCAGTTTTCCATGATAAATCGACTAACATAGTGTTACTTGATTTCTTATATTTACGCGAACAATACACATTTAAATAAAACTAGTGTTACTTATCCATACCTTTTCCACCAAGTTTGTAACTTTTTTACCTATGTTTTACAAATAAATTATTTTAAATTTTGAAATAGCAGCTTAATGCTGCAGTGTTTCGTATGGTAAGGGACGAGAACCGGTGACCCTTTTACTGGTAATGAGGCATTGCATCTTAATGCCCATGATTAGGTGGACTGTGTGCGCGTTTGTCACCCTTATTCTATAAAATAAGTAACATAATTTACTAAGGGTAAGTGGCTACTGCAGCCAACACCTGTAACAAACTTCAAACAGTGAAGGCCATCTATGCTTTTTGATAAGAAAGCATTTTTTTAATATATAACAAGGGTGACAAACGAGCCATAGACATCTACATTTATAATCACTTTCAAAAGCCTTGTAACCTATTAAAATTCGAAATGCAGGTGCATTATCATCCCTGAGGACCTAAGATTTCGGTTCTCTACAATCACCATACAAAACACAGTGGTATTAAGCTGCTATTTTACGCTGACATTTTGTGAGAGCGTGGCCCTACTCCGGTCAAGACGACCCGTTCGTGCTACAATCACAATATAGCTGCAACGTGGCTCTACCACGTATAAAAATTGAGACAGTACGTTCCAAAAGCAAGTGTTGCACGTTCCAGGTGGAGAGCTGTTCTCGCAGCGGTTCGAGGGGTATACGCTGCACGTGACGGCGCTGTTCGAGCAGGTGGTAGTGTCGTGGGCGCGGCCCGGGCAGCCGCAGCGCGAGGTGGGGCTCGCGCGCGAGACCCTAGACAACCGCTGGCACTGGGTGGCGCTGCGTTACCGCCCAGAGCCGCTATCCTTGCTGCTCGAGGTCGACAAGGACACACAGGTACGCCTTCGCCTTCGTCACACCCAGAGTAGAAATCAGACTCACTTTAGTACCTAGTACTGGGAAGGAAATCACCGCTCGAACCGCTCTCTCTCCTGCTCGATAAGGACACACAGGTACACATGCATCATACCCAGAGTAGAATTTAGACTCACTTGAGTATCTAGTTCTTAATACATAGTATCCAGTAGCTAGTACAAAGTACCGGTAGGCGAAGTGTAGGGTGGCCTCCCACTGGATGGAGTAACGACCTGGTAAGACATGCAGCACGTCGATGGATGCAGGTTGTCATCATCATTATCATCATCATCACATCCCTTTACAATTCCGCTGCTGAACATAATAATATGCCCCAAGTAATGTCACAAAGCACGGTCTTAAGCCACCTGCATCTATCAACTTATCAGGTCGTCACTCCATCTAGTAGGGGCCGCTCTACACTTCGTCTATCGGTACGAGGCTGCCACTCGAGAACCTGTCTTCCCCATTGGTTGTCTGCTCTTCTAGCTATATCGCCGACTTTTTGCTACTTCAAAATACTTTAACGTTGGGTTATGTCGATTACTCTGGTTCTACTGCGAATATCCTCATTTCTAAGCTTATCACGCAGGGAAATCCCGAGAATAACCCTCTTAATAGCTCGCCGAGCATTGAAGGACCATGTCTCATCCATAATTATGTCATCACTGGCAATGCACTGGTTCCATAATCTTCTTTTCAAGTTTTGTACTTAGTGTAATTGAGCTTTGTTGTTATGCAGTCATGCGTGAAACAAAAGAGTTTAAGGCATGAATACTTACTTAATATAAATTAAAAATCGTAAAAGAGTTTTGTTTTGAAATGACCGCACGAACACTGACTGTTCTTCCGCCAACGTCGAATCTGTTGTCATTATAAATTGCAATCCAAGCGAAATAAAGACAAAGGCCACTTACACGCGTGACACAGCAGATTCTGTGTCTGACATTAATGGCTGCTTTACACAGGGACAGTAGCTGGCTCCAAATTCGAGGCAAGTCAGTGCTGACCCGCTACTGGCATATGTAAATTGATTTGGAGTCAGTACAACATTGTCGCGCCAGTGCTGACTTTAATATTCCTGCTTGAATATTTTGAAGTCAGTCCACTCCTCCTGCCACCCGCGCCAGCGGGTATTGTCCTTGTCTAAACAACCAAGTCAGTGCTTGGCTGCTTGGTCAGTCGCTTGCGTAGCGTAGTATTGTAGGGTGACATCGCGTCGTATCATAAAATTATAAAATATATAGATTAGTAAATGAGGGTAAATGAGCGCATTTTTTATATTACTGAAAGCATGTATGATGCATTTATTTATATTAATTGTGTAACTTATATTCATCAAAATATATTGGATTTTAATACTTGGGGTTTTATCTCATGGCTGCCTCAATCAGCAGTTCTTTGGGATTTTTTCGGACTGAGCCTGTTGAGATGCCTGGCTCAAGCAGCAGCTCTTTGGGATTTTATCCCCCCGAGCGAACTTTAATTAATCCTAGATATGTAGACCCTAAGCAAGTAATCATTGCATCCGCCAGTAACAGGACCTTGAATAACAATGAAGTTGGGCGTGAAAACAACAAAAGAAAAGATAATTGAAAAAATCTCAATAATTCTGTTCTTTTTATCTTTTAAATTCAACATGCGTGGTTTATACATTCGTAAGGGTCGATCGGTAGAAAATAACCGTTGCCCATAAATCACATTCAATTTGGGATAATTTCAAATAAAAGTAGAAACCTTAAAACAAACTGCGGTAGAGATACATCCTTTTTATTTATATATATTTGAACTTAAGTTTAAAATTTGGCTACAGTACATTATCTCACTTGGTATTTCCTTTTTGAAGAATACACATTTATATTTTTGATATAGATTTTCTTAACCGCCGTGTAGTGGCGGTTAAGAATATCCACTACCCCATATCTTCCCGTGGGTGTCGTAAGAGGCGACAGAGGGAAACAGGCAGGAGATGGGCAGCAGTATCTTCCTGATAACAGCAATATCACAATAATAAAAACTGCGGTTGCCAACCCGCTCGAATGAAACGGCCCCCAGTCCCCGGCGGCTCCGCTATTCCTGGCTACAGTGGCGACCATGGTAACGGCGGGGTAGGGGGTGTTAAGAATCTCCGGTGGAGGTTTGGTTGCCACCTAAGACGACTCGACCTGGCAACATACAACGCACGCACCCTGAGGACTGACCAGAAGATTGTGGCAAGTTACGCTGGCATATTATAGGATTATCCGAAGTCCGAAGAGAGGGGGAGGACGAATCCGGCAACTTGCTCTATCACCGAAAGGGCGACCATCTGTCCCAAGGAGGTATCGGATTTATCGTCCACAAGTCTCTCGTTAACAACGTTGTAAAGATTGAGAGTGTGTCGACGAGGGTTGCGTACTTTATACTCAGAATCACCAAACGGTATTCACTGAAGGTCATACAGGTTTACGCACCAACCTCGGCACATCCCGATGAGGAGGTGGAGGAAATGTGTGAGGATATCTCTAGAACCATGTATTCCTCCAAAACCCAATATACGGTGTTAATGGGAGATTTCAATGCAAAACTAGGCACAAGAGAGAACGGTGAGCTGAAAGTAGGGAAATTTGGAATAGGGAAACGAAGCCCAAGGGGCCAGCAGCTGGCCGACTTCATGGAGAAAGAGGGACTCTTTATGACAAACTATTTCTTCCAGATTGGCCCCAAAGGAAGTGGACCTGGTCGAACTCCGACGGTTCGACAAAAAATGAGATTGACTTCATTATGACGACCAGACGACAACTGTTCAGTGATGTCTCAGTGATCGCGAAGGTGAAAACTGGTAGCGATCACCGAATGGTTAGAGGCACACTGAACCTAAAGGTTAAGTTGGAGAGGCCTAGTGTAATGAAGTCAACGCTCCGTCCCCCTCGTGCTCTAGTCCAAAGTCCCGAAACCTTTCAGCTCGAGTTACAAAACCGTTTTCGGTACCTAGAAGACTGCAATGAAGTGGACGATATGAATGATGAGCTCTTGGAAACTGTCCATGCGGTCGGAACTAAGTTCTGCAAGACACGCCGCAGAAGAACACAAAAACTCTCCGATCACACTCTTAATCTCATGGCTGTTAGACGGGATATGAAGCTGCAGTCTACAACAGATTTGACAGCATACAGACAACTGAACAAACAGATCTCAAAATGCATGCGGCTGGACTTTCGCCATTTCAATACAGCTTGTATTGAAGAAGCGGTCGAGCGGAACCAAAGCTCCAAAGTCTTTGTCAGAGATCTGTCTGCCAAAAAGAGCCAACTGTCAAAGCTTAAGAACGAATGTGGCAGCATTGTTTCCGGGACACCTGGGATTTTGAGTAAGATTGAGAGATTCTATGGGCAGCTGTACACGTCATCGTTGGAGCCACACGCAAGTTTGAGTAACGATCAAAGAGCGAGTCTTATCCGACACTATTCCGAAGATATTCTGGACGTCAGTCTGAGCGCGATTAGAATGGCTCTCCAGCACCACCAGCGGAGCTTCTGAAAGCGGGTGGAAAACCGGTACTTGAAGTCCTTCAGAGGCTCTTTAATTCCGTCCTCTATGGTGGCACTACTCCGGAGGCGTGGAGCAGAAGTGAGGTGGTCTTGTTCTTCAAGAAAGGCGAAAGCACTCTCTTGAAAAACTACAGACCGATTTCCCTTCTGAGCCGCGTCCACGTGAGTGCGTTTTCGAGAGTCATTAAGAATCGTCTCGCACGCAGACTCGACGACTACCAGCCTCCCGAATAAGCCGGTTTCCGAAAAGGCTTTAGCACCAAAGACCACATACACACCCTTCGGCAAATTGTACAGGAGACAGAAGAGTATAATCTGCCACTTTGCCTTGCGTATGTGGACTATGAGAAAGCCTTTGATTCCGTCGAAATTTGGGCGATGCTTCAGCGGTGCCAAGTTGACTGTCGGTATATCGAAGTGCTGAAGTGTTTGTACAGTAGGGTTACAATGGCTAGCCGAGTACAGAATCAGAGTACGAAACCTATCCAACTGCAGAGAGGTGTGAGGGTGACGTTATATCCCCGAAACTTCACCGCTACATTGGAAAACGTTTTCAAGCTACTGGACTGGAAAGGATGCGGTATTAACATTAGTGGCGAGTACATCATTCACCTTCGATTTGCCGACGATATAGGCCTTATGTCAGAATCGCTGGAGGACCTAAGCACTATGCTCAATGACCTCAATAGTGTTTCCCAACGGATAGGTATTACGATGAACATGGACAAAACAAAGATCATGTTTAACGTCCATGTCACACCTATTCCGGTAGTTGTTGGGAGCACTAAGCTCGAAGTTGTTGACGAGTATGTTTACCTGGGACAAATAGTCCGATTAGGTAAGTGCAACTTCGACCGAGAGGTCAATCGATAGATTCAACTCTGCTGGGCAGCGTTCGGGAAATTACGGCACATCTTCTCGTTAGGTATACCTCAAAACTTCCTTCCTTCACTGCTGGCCGGATGAGGAAGCTCAAGGTCGCGCAGCGAGCTATGGAGAAGGCTATGCTCGGAGTTTCTCTGCGTGATAAACTTAGAAATGAGGATATCCGCAGTGGAACCAGAGTGACCGATATAGCCCAACGGACTAGTAAGCTGAAGTGGCAATGGGCTGGCCATATAGCTCGAAGAACCGACAACCGATGGGGAAAAAAGGTTCTCGAGTGGCGACCTCGTACCGGCGGACGAAGTGTAGCGCGTCCCCCCACTAGATTGAGTGACGACCTGGTAAGACATGCAGGAAGTCGATGGATGCAGGTGGCTCAGGACCGTGTTTTGTGGCATTCCTTGGGGGAGACCTATGTTCAGCAGTGGACTTGTGAAGGGCTGTAATGATGATGATGATATTTTTTTTATAAAAAAAAGAGACAAACTTCTACTTTCAATACAATGTAAAAGCTGACTGCAAATAACTATTTTTTATAGAATATAAGGGTGACATACGGGCACTCAGTCCACCTGATGGTAAGTGGATGGTGTGGCTCATATGGTAAGACATGCAGGAATCCGCTCATACAAGTAGCTCAGTACCGTGTTTTATTTATAGCAATCATATAGCAATGCTTAAGGGATGCGTCTATTTAGCAGTAGCTTGTAGAGGCTTGTAGAGGGTTTTAATGATTATGATGATGATGATGATTATTATTTATACAATTCATTGGTAAGTTATATCTTACTTTGTATTTTCTTTGTGAATTATATCCCCTATTATATAGAGTAACGACCTAGTAAGACACACAGGAAGTCAATGGATACAGGTAGCTTCATATCATGTTTTATAGCATACCTTGAAGGAGACGGCCGATGTTGTGTCGAAACATAGGTCGTCTCTTAATACATTTTATGCTCCCTTATCGATAATACTGTGTTTTGTTTAAAAACAGAAATAATTGTAATTGTCGATTTTCAAGCGCAATAATCGTATTCGCTAATTAATAATAGATTCATCACTAGTTTACCGATATTGCCTATTAAAGTCCACAGCTGAACATAGGCCTCCCCCATAGATTGCCTCCTAGGGGGATATTTCTCATAGTTGCCACGCTTGGCAAGTGGGTTGACAACCGCAGTTTTTCGTTATTAAGAAGACACTGCTTTCACCCCCTGTTTTGTTTTGGTAGTACCGACACTAATGAAATAGTTAATTGCAATTTTAAGTGTTAATTTACCACGTGCTCGGCGGTGATGGAAAACATCGTGAAGAAACCTGCATGTCTGAGAAATTAAAAAAAAAATTCTAAGACATGTGAAGTTCGCCAACACGCATTGGGGCAGCGCAGCGGACATTTCCTAGTCCTAAAACCCTCTCAGTTATGTGAGGAGGCCTGTGGCCAGCAGTGGGACATATATAGGCTGTAACCTTAACTTTTAACTATGGGGTATTCGACATTCTTACACCGACATTATACCGTAAACAGTCACGTGATAGAGAATAATGCCCTTTATGTATAAGCGTGAACGGATGCAGGTGATCTCGAACGTGACGTGGAACCCGGAGCTGCTGTCGCCGGGCGCACTGGAGGCGAGCGGCGCTGTGCTGCTGGTGGGCAACTTGTTCAGCGGCTGTATCCACGAGGGCCCGCAGCTCGAGTTCCACGCGGCAAATATGCAGCATCGCAACGTCGCCTTCGGAAATTGCCCGCTCACCACCGACGACTGTAACTATAATCATATACTTAATGCATACTTTTTAATCACTTGACACTGGCAAAAGTGTAAGTAGTTGAATTGAGTATACTTGTACTTTCGCTAGTGTCAAGTAATATGAAATTATCAACTTAGTAATTTGTGCAAAAACTTCTTCAGAATATGTTGATACATACATTGTGAAATTTTTAAAATGTTTTGACCGCATCTTGAGCCAGCAGACAATCGATGACGGTATTATCTCAAGGCGCCTACGTATACGCATTATCTTGAGGTTCACATCACCGTCAGAGCAGTTGTTTCATTGTTTCTACTAATATTTCACATGCGCAGACATTTACACAAAATCGCACCACTTTTACGTATCAAAATCCACTTCAAACCATTATTCAAACAATATTATGCCGGCAGAAACTATAACGATATATAATATATCGTTATAGTTTCCGCCGTCGGATTGTTTCTTCTATAATTTATACAACACGTAACATAATTAACGCACACCCTGAAAGTAGTTTGTTCAGAATCGTTTACTGAATCGATTTCTATCATTTTTATTATAGGTAATTTTATATCCCAAAAATAATTGAACTACGTAAATTACAGTCACATTAAACCTGTACACTTAAAACAAAGTGAAATGGACCGTAGCTCAAGGCAATAAGACTTTTTAAAGTACACTTTTATTTGTATTAATACAAATTCCGTCATTCAATACAAAATAAAGAAAATTGAACCTTATTTCAAGTACGTTAAAGTCTTTACAAATACGGAGTTTGGAGTGCCTTATATAAAGGTCGCGGCGGCCCTGTCCATTGATCTCGCAGATCAGCTGATTTGACGCCTCTTGACTTTTTTTATGGGGACGTATTAAATCATTAGTTTATTTTAGTAAGACAACAAGTACCGAGGACCTAAAAATAGGTTAGTGAACACTTAAAATGACACTGAATTGCTTTCTAAATTATTTTCTTTCTTTTTTAAAACGTAACCTCCACACTAGGATTTTCTTTTGTATTGTGGGGGCAGTTTACAAACATAAATTGAACAAGGACAAACATACAGACCCGGAACAAATATTTATAGGCCATACAAATACTTGTTCCGTGCGGGATTCAAACCCGCGGCCCTTAGCGCTGCAACTCAATTGCTAAGCCACTGCGCCACGGAGCCGTGGTAGACATTTTGAAAGTGTATTTAAATACAACGTTGCATGATAGTTCAGGCTAGCAGTAAGTTAAATATTTGGTTCTTAAAATTATTGTAATCTTGATTCACATCTTTTAAACACGTCGTCTTTGAATTATGTTGTCGTATCGCCTCTTATTTTTAGCAGTTCATTATTATTTACAATTACAATTAAAATGTTATGCAAATTCATAACAATTTGTAACGAATATTGCCTATTGACATTGTATCATAATCAATAAACAAATTATTCAGAGCCGAAAGTTCAAAGCCTGTAAAGTGTGATGGAAAGATGCAATAAAATGTTTACTAGACTTAAATAAACAACTCAATGCTCGGAGTTCTGACATCTGTTAATGTTCATAGGTAGGTATTTCTTTAACCAACCAATCATGTATTGTCGGCTTTTTTCGGCACTCTAATACCTACCTAAAGTTGTCTCAAGCGGCGGCAGCGTAAACTCGTCTCGAACGCGAGCCAATACCTACTAGGCTAGCAAAACTTTATACTTAGCGTTCGTGGATTTGTACGGTGACCACAACATTCTTCCGGAATTAGTATAATTAATTTAATAAATAATCAATGCATAAACATGTTTAACTAAGAATTCTGTGTATGTATTATGATTATAACATAATATACTAATTGGGGTGTCTGAGGATGTGCGTTAATTACGTTAGATGTTGTATATATATATATATATATACCTAGTCAGGTCATAAATTCTGTCACATGTTTAATATAAAATAATTGAAACAAGTTTATTCATTATGTAACCATTTATATACCAAAATGAACTTAACAAAACATAATTCTTATGACACTAAAGTTTATTCAAAATGACCTCTGTGATTTTATTTCGTCTATCGCAGCACGAACGAGGTCCATGTCAATATCGACGGCTGCCTTAATCAAGGATGTCTTGAGTGACTTTTCCTCCAAGTGTTGCCATATCTTGTAATCTAACGGATTCAAATCTGGACTGGAGGAGGGCCAGTATTCGTGCCGGATGAAGTCGATTTCACGCGCCGTCAGCCAGTCTGCAAGGTTCGCTAGGACTGTATTTTGATACACAACTGCATTCGTTTTTACACCTTTCTCACAAAAATGTACCTCTGTTAAGCCCCAATAACAAACTCCCAACCATACCATGAGCGAGAATGGAAAATGACCTCGTTGGACACGCGGAATACGGTTGCTCGCTTCTTCACTACTGTGTGCGTACACCTTATCATTTTGTTTGTAGTAGCTCTCTTCTACGGTAATAATTTTTTCATCCGAAAAAATAATTTCCCGATATTTTTTCCCGCGTACCGCTTCAACAAAGCGCGGCATCTCTTCAGTCTCAGGTCCATTAGACGAGCATTCAAACGATGTTCCGATTTTCTTCGATATGCCCGAAGCGCTAAGTCTTCATTTAACACCCTTTTCACCGTGGTTCTGCTTAACCCCATCTGAAGGGCCAACAGTTTCTGCTTACGTTTGGGATATCTTTGAATTCGCGCCTTCACAGCTTTTATCACTGCTGGAGTCCTAACAGACCGAGGGCGACCACTTCTTGACCTGTCATCTACACTAGAGTCTTCATTGTATCGTTTGATGGTACGATAAATGAATCTTTTGGTTATATTCAAATTTTTCAGTATGTCAAAAATTTGAATTGGCGCGTAACCGCAACGATGCAACGCAATAACTGCAATACGGTCTTCTTTAAGCGTCCACTCCATATTTAAAAATGAGTAAAATTCTAAAAAGTATACAGTTTTATTTTCATGAACCATTCGAAATTCGAATTCAATAAACTTTTTTGTGTCCAGCATTCTAAAAGAAAACTTTTTACTGTGTGACAATACTTATGACCTGACTAGGTATATATATATATACATATATATATAAAATTAATTTCCGGGACCGAAGATGTTGTCTTGCAATACTTGCTCGACATGCTAAAGCTGGGCGGCCAGATGTTTTCTGTCACAGATCCCTCGCGCTAGTAGTAGCCGTGGTAGTTCAGAGGTTAAGCACTCGCTGCAAAATATCATAGTACGAGAGTAACCCGGGTTGGATCCCGGTCGGCACCAATGAAATTGTTAATTGCAACTTTAAGTGCTTATTTACCACGTGCTCGTCGGTGACGGAAAACATTGTTAGGAAACCTACATGTTTGAAAAATAAGAGAAAAAATATTACAAAGACATGTGAAGTTCGTCAACACGCATTGGGGCAGCGCTGCGGACATTTCCTTGCCCTAAAACCCTCTCAGAAATAAGAGAAGGCCTTTGCCCAGCAGTGGGACGTATATAGGCTGTAACTTTACTTTTATTTTTAAACTTATTAATAATTACACATTTAAATACTAATTATAACTATAATAATAATTATCAATACACTTCAATCAATTACAGGTATCGATAGAAAAGATGTACTGAGGATACCGCCGAAGGACCACTGCTACAACGAGCCATGCATGCGACATGGAACCTGTATATCCAGGCACGATAGGTGAGTTTTAAATAACATCGAACCCTTAGTTTTTATATATTAAATGTTTTATACAAAAAATACTCAATGTAAAGTAAAAAAAAAAAAAACAATTTTAAGACTTAACTTGTTACGTTATCTATACATCTATACATTTAAATAAAATTGAAGTGTCTGTTTGTAATCTCAAAATTACAGCGTTTTACTAAATACATATGAAAGTATAAACGGTACTTGACACAAAATACACTTTAAAATTTTTGTCTGTTTGTCTGTCTGTCTGTTTGTTCCGGCTAATCTCCGAAACGGCTGGACCGATTTTGACGGGACTTTCACTGGCATTTAGCTGATGTCATAAGGAGTAACTTAGGCTACTTTTATAAAAGTTCTGAACACTTAATTATTATATAATGGTTAGGAGAATTTTTTCTTGAGTTGTAATGAAAAACTTACTAACTATATAGAATCGCATCCTTTTTTAACTCGGCTAGGAACAGAAACAGAAACTTTTATTATTCAATTTAGATTATAAACAATAATTACATAGGATGCACTAAAAGTATCGGGAATGGAATATTTCCACTGTTCTTGTCATATTAAAATCTTTTTAATTGAAAAGTCTTTGGTTTTAAAAATCGAATACCATTTATTTATTTAAAAAAAGATTCTCGGTCTTGTCACAAGGTTTTGTCAAACTTGTTTAGTCGTTGAGAAAATGGAATTAACTCGAGAAAATTCAAGAGCGATGATTTATTATGACTTTCGAAGTGGTTTAACACAAAAACAGTGTGTTGACCCGATGATTTCTGCATTTGGTGATGAAGCCCCATCCAAAACCACAATTTATCGCTGGTTTGCTGAATTTCAACGTGGACGTGTCAAGCTCAGTGATGATCCCCGTCAAGGTCGTCCAAAAACTGCAGTCACCCAAGAAAACGTTGATGCTGTGCGTAAGCTGTTTGAGGAAGATCGACATGTGACATACCGCGAAATTCAGGCAACTTTAGACATTGGCATGAGTCAAATACAAATAATCTTGCATGAACAATTAGATGTAAAAAGTTGTTTTCCCGATGGATACCGCATTCGCTCTATGAAGAGCAAAAAGCGGCTTGCGTTACTTGGTGCGTCAGAACTCTCGAAAGATTCCACGCAGGATCCTCAAATGCTGTATACAACATCGTATCAGGTGACGAATCCTGGATATACGCGTACGAACCCGAAACAAAAAACCAGTCACGAGTTTGGGTGTTCGAAAATGAGTTAAAGACAACAAAAATTGTTCGTTCACGGAGAGTAAACCGGCTTAAACTTAGGGCTTAACCTAACCGGTTAAAAAAAAACGGCCATGTTACGACTATTCCTCTTGAGGGACAAAGAACGGTTAATGCAAAATGGTATGCTAGCATTTGTTTGCCACAGGTCGTTTCTGAACTCCGTAAAGAGAACTGCAACCGCCGCATCATCCTCCATCACGACAATGCGAGTTCTCACACTGCACACAGAACAAAAGAGTTTTTAGAGCAAGAAAACACACACAAAACATATACCGCCGTACAGCCCCGACCTAAGCCCTAATGATTTCTATACTTTCCCTAAAATAAAGAATAAATTGCGTGGACAGAGATTTTTATCACCTGAAAAAGCTGTGGACGCCTACAAAACAGCCATTTTGGAGACCCCAACTTCCGAATGGAATGGTTGCTTCAATGATTGGTTCCATCGTATGGAAAAATGTGTCAAATTTCGCGGAGAATACTTCGAAAAGCAATAAATACATTTTTAAATAGTAATGTTGTGTCACTTCCTTGATTCCCGAAATTTTCAGTGCCACCCTCGTAATAATAATAATAAGTTACTCATTTTTTTTAAATTGACACTGGTTCGAATAAAAGCGCCTGTCCTGGGAAAACCCAGGAAGAAACCTAGCGGGACTTATTTTTTTTTAAAACAAATTACAATCATGTACGTTACACAATTAACAACACAACAATTTCATACATCTCGTTTTAGTGCCGTTTAAATGCAAATTATTAACATCGAACCAATTTACTAATTTAGATATAGTATTATTTACTACGTCATATTTTAGTAATTGCCGTCTTAATTTGAAAATTAAAGAAGTGTCGTCAGCAAACAATACTATATCATAGTTATCCCCTACTATGTAAGGTAAGTCACTAATGTATACAAGAAACAGAAAGGGGCCGAGAATTAAGCCCTGAGGCACGTCCATTTGTACCATCGACCCGGAAGAGCTCGTACTGTTAATGACAACTTTTTGCGTTCTATAACATAAATATGAAATAATTTATTTAAGAGCATCACTTCTTATATCGTAGTGTTAAAGTTTCCTGATTAATGTTTCATGGTGAATACAATCGAACGCCTTGGATAGGCCACAGAATATACCCAAAGCATCCTTTGAATTCTCCCATGCATTAAAGATATATTTAATTAGTTCAACACCGGCATCAGTTGTCGAGCGACCCCTTGTGAAACCAAATTGATTTTTATGAAGTGAATTATTTATATTAAAGAACTTTAACATTTGAACAAGAATATTTTTTTTTTCAAAAATCTTACTATATGTTGGTAGTACAGAAATATGTCTAAAATTGGCGGGGTCTAATGTACTACCAGATTTAAATAAAAGTATTTCTTTACTAATGCTTAATTAAATCAGGAAACACACCAGATTTGATACTAATATTAGAAGTAATAGCTAGATGAGGTGCGATTGTATCTACTATAGACGCAATACTTTAATTAGTTTTATTAATATTGTTCAGTTAGGGAACATGAATAAAATAGGCGACTCACACGATAGGCAAATTGTATATTTAAAAGGAATGAAAAATACAAAATATTTGGTGGCGATCGGGTCGCGAGCTATCGGCGAGTGCCGGTCTTAGGCGCGGTGGTGAGAATCCCCCCGCACTTCACATACTCCCCGCAAACACGTCGGTGCTGTCGTAACGGCGCCGACATACTCCCGGCGCTGGAAAGCTTAACAGCTTTCAAGATCTTCCAACTCATCGGGCTTCGGTAGTAGGACGATTCTGTTTAGGGCGCGCCGCACAATTCCTCTTGCAGTGTCTATATCTGCGACGCGTGTCAATCCGTCAGATCCCGGGAAGAGCTTTCTTACACGTCCGAGACGCCAATAGAGCGGTGGAGCGTTTTCCTCTTTCAAGAGGACTAGGTCGTCAATTTGTGGGCTCTCTTTGGACTTCGTGCGCCACTTCGTCCTCAACTGCAGCTCCGCAATGTACTCGTGGCTCCAGCGTCGCCAAAAGTGTTGCTTGAACTGCTCGATGCGCTGGAATCTGTCGAGACGATTGGCATTAGCGGATTGTAGACACGGAGATGGCAGCGAGCTTAGTGGTCTACCAATTAAAAAGTGGCCCGGAGTTAAGGGATAATAGTCCGTGGGAGAGGAACTTAATGGACATAGGGGGCGGCTATTTAGGATACATTCTATTTGTGTGAACAAAGATGACAATTCCTCATAGGTTAGGTGCGTAGTCCCTAATATCCTAGCCAGGTGGAATTTGGCTGACTTTACACCGGCCTCCATCAAACCATTGAAGTGAGGAGCGTATGCAGGCGAAAAACAAAATTCAACGCCTTCGTTAGCGGCAAAATTAGCGATAGTTTTGGCATTAACTTCAAAAAACTCTTTAAGTTCCTTTGAAGCAGCTACAAAGTTTCCACCATTGTCGCAGAATATCTGCCTTGGTAGCCCTCTCCGTGAAACAAAGCGTCTCAAAGTTAAAATAAAAGCATCCTTGGACAGCTCACTAACAGCCTCCAAATGGATGCACTTATACCTAAAACATATGAAAATACACAAATAACATTTTGTAATTTTACAACCACGACCTTTGCGATCCGTGACCATAAATGGCCCAGCGAAATCAGTCCCTACTGTAATAAAAGGAAAGTCGGGCATTAGTCTTTGAGCAGGTAGGTTGCCCATTATGTTTTTCATAGACTGACCCTTAAAACGCCTACATACGGTGCAATTATGCACAGTACGTCTAGCCAGACTTCTTCCACTAATGGGCCAAAAACGCGTTCTAATAGAAGCCAGTAAGGCTTGGGGCCCCAGATGTAGAAGCCGTACGTGTTCTTGTTGGAATAAAAGTTGAGTAAAATGGTGTTTAGAGCTTAACAACATGGGATGCTTCATATCGAAACTATATTCAGAAGCCTGAATTCGACCACCTACTCTTATCACTCCTTCATGTAAAAATGGATTAAGTGCCGAAATGTGCGACTTAGGACTTAGGGAATTTCCTTTTAATAATAAGTCGTATTCTTTAGGGAATGCCTCTAATTGGGAAATATACACTAATGAATTAAGAGTTTTATTGAGCTCGGCGGTAGTTAAGGAACCTGTAATTTTAGTTTTAGAATTTTTACAGTTATTAATAAATCTATGTACATAGGCTAAAATGTGTTGTAATTGTTTTAATTTAGAATATTTGTTAAAGTTAATAATTGATTGATAATTATCACAAATAGCAACTGGATGTGCTTTAACTTCCGGCAAATTCTTCATCTCAATAATAGTCTGCGACTGCATAGAAGGCCACTCGGACTCTGGCAACGATAAAAACTTAGGTCCATACCACCACATATCACATGCAGCGATCTGTTGTGGGTTCACGCCACGGGATAGCAGGTCAGCTGGGTTGTGTTCTGTAGGAACGTGGTGCCATGAATTTGCGTCAGTCAGATCTCTAATGGCGGCGACTCTGTTGGCAACGAATGCTTTCAAGTTAGAAGAACCGCAGCGCAACCAACTAAGAACTACGTTCGAGTCAGTCCAATAGACATGACGCGATATTTTACGTCGCAAGGCCTTGGTCACAGATGAGCTCATTTCAGCTGCCAGAAGAGCACCTGAAAGCTCCAAACGAGGAATTGTAATAGGGCTGGATGCTGGGGCAACGCGAGATTTCGTACATAAAAGTTGGACATGTATTTGTCCTTCTTTATTTGTAGAGCGAAGG